CAGCATCTACATCCATTTAGAGGGCACTGTCGTTTGAACTCCAGGATTTCAGGCCGTCTGCAAAAAGGGAACACGGGGCTTTCGGAGCTCCGCCCCGAATCTAATGAAAGGTGAAGCTTATCACGGAACTTGTAGAACCACTTTGTGGTGTTTGTTCATAATCGTGTAATGGTCAATGATTATGAGGATGCGTGAGAATGTTCATTCCCCAAAGCTGTACATGGGAGACGTTTACTGTCCTGTCCGAAAGCTTGCAACTGTGTATTTAGTGTTTGCCAATGAACGAACACGCAGCGAGGAGTTTCCCACTTTTCGCTGGTATTATGCTGATAGCTCGTGGGTTTTGATTCGCTCCTCGCCGGATATTTGTACAAGGAACTAAAAATTAGTCATGTAGATTCACCTCGCTCTGTTAGTTTCAACACGATGGTATTGCAGCCTTGTGTGTCACGACGCCAAGTGCCTCAAAACGCAGGGAGATGCCTACGCGGCCACCCAGCGGACCAGGTTTAGAACGTAACCGCCGCCTTCCAGGATTTCCCTGTGGTCACAGTGGTACAACGCACGCATCTCTCATTCCCGCATGAGCCACTTGGTGTGCCAAGACGCCTTCTGTGTGAGATGTTCGAGTGCGTCCGAGTGGCGCACATGCTTCCTCGGGCAGCCGTTGGCGTTCTCCATGTGGTTTTTGGTCACACTGCAACGACAGACGATCCCGAGCTGCGCGTCCACAGCCCGTTAGCTGATAATGTACATTCATTAGGCCGTGTGGCAAGAGACGAACCGTGGGTCAGTGTGGCTTAGGAATGGCAGGTTTTGTCGGGACCTGTGTGCTAGCATTATGATAAACAGAAAACCCACCGTATGGCGTTGTCTAGGCGATGAGCACGGTGGAATGCATGTAGGCTGTTTGCAGAGTAGTTGTGGCCAAAATACACCGATATTATGCGATACACAGTGCTTCCCGATAGCTTTGCTAACACGAAAAAGCACAACATGATATCGCAGCTGAACATGACTCTGGATGCCCGCATTCATGCGGCTATCTTGTCCATGAAAAAAGTTTTCACTTTAAGTTGTTCACTACTCATGTCCCTGGAGAAGTCAAACAGTTTGGGCATAAGAACGAACTGTTCACTTTCCACAAAGGCATTCATAACTGGGCACCCAATGCTCATGCCATTCATGATCAGGAAAGTGTGTGGCATGTATCCACGGACCATAAACCGCCTGCACTGGAAAGCCCCACTCGGATCGTTTGGTATTGCGCGTATCATCGACAATTTCTACATGTGTGAAGCGTTGGAAGAGCGCCATCTGCTGGCATCTCGCGAAATATATGTGGCTGTAGCGACCTTTCCCGACTGCGACACAGGCAGCCGTTCGGGCCCGCGAAGCTTATCCAGGTCGAAAGGCATATCGTCTCTCGTAACAAAGCCAAACTATCTATCACTCACTCAACGGGGCTGGTCGACACTTCCGGTGGTGGTAGTATCGTGCGTGGCAAGGAGTATGCTAAATTCATCGACCAGAAACAGCCACACTTCACAGTTGGGTGTTCCATACTTCAGCAAAGACATGCAGGTGCCCAACTCATCTTTGGTTAGCCGGCAATCCACTGGAAGTCGGTCGTACAAAAATCTAAAATCCCTGTGACTGTGCTCAAGATAGTAACAGGTGATTGAGAGATGGTTCCCGTGTCTCTTTGGACAAAACTTACAAAACACCACTGGAAAATCCACTCGACTTACTTACTTCTTCAGATTCGCCAACTTCCCATCGGTTTAGCCGGCCGTTTGCTGCATTCGTAGTACACATGCTTGTAGTGCAAAACAACGGTGGTACCTCCATTATCCACTGCGCGCACGGACGCCACATAATTATCCCTCATGTATTTGTCTAACGCCCTCTCAAACGCAGTGAAGATGCAGTGAAGGATGAACACCGGACAGCTCTCGGCTCCTCAATGAACACATCTGGAGCCATAGCATCGCGGCTATAGAGTTGAACGCGTGTCAACAATTAAGACAGGAGAGCAACGAAAACAAATATCAAGAAAATTAGGGCATATTTTGATGGTTTTTTATGTAAGCATGCATACAGCAGGATGCAACATTGCCACTTTTTATTCGGCATACAGAAGTCTTGAAGTAAAGTGCGCCTGCCGGCTAAGGATCTGCGACGAAAAGTGGTGTGACTCTGCGTTCTGTAGGACCCACCCTGACAGAGAAGAGTGTAATCTATACCTGGCCTACCGACGCTGCGTGCTTAGCGGTAGGTACGAGGCTTATCTTCTATCTTCCAACCTTTGTCGAAATCATTGAAAAACCGCGGTGTTTTGTTTTACCTTATCAAAGTGAGCGTTACCACAGCATCACGAGCGTCTGTAACTTATGCCGGACCTGTTAGAAAGCAAAAATGTTTTAATTGGAAAATCAACTGATGATGTCTTCCGTACGTCTTTTGGGGTCGGGCATCACTGGAGGCCTGGATTTTATTTTCCAGACTCAAATACTCTAGTGGGTTTGGTTATTCAACATAAGCTCATGCTAAAATCACTAATTTAGACCAAGCTTTCGACGGAACAAACGTGCTCCCAGCGACCTGGCGGAGCCGTCAAGCCATCAGATCATTATACCACGACAACAGGTTCATTTCACGACCCAAAAGTACTTTCTGAAGAGCTACAAAACACTCGTGCGTTGCCACCTCCGCATCACTGGAATGTTCACTATATCAGCGACTTTCGCTCACGATATTTAGCGGGCCGGCACTATAGACCACTGAGCCCGAGTCACCAAAAGAGCGAGACACATGATGAGTTCCGACAACACGACAGCCCAAGCGAGGTTTGGCGGCCAATTGGAATGCAGCCTTTTGTCCTGGATAATCACCATAAAGAGGGCCCATCTAAGGTACTTTTCTCATTTGCACTCATTTTTCCAGAAAATAGTTGCCTCAACTGTGAACCGATCGTTGAGAGGACGCACGCTTCTCCCAAAAGATAAAGAAGTCTTGCGGCACTTAGATCCATACTTAACTACTACAATGAAAGAGCATCGTGTGTGGACGCCCGAAGAACTGGAAGCATGTGCGAAGAAAGATATCGCCACATATTGGGATCTGGAATCTTATCCGAAAGCCCGGGGGTTTGGTCTTAAATCAAAGTGAGTCAAGGTGTCATAGACTTGTTTCCTATCTTATATACACAATAGCCCCATGAGCATAAGCCTCCATGGAGACCGACACGCCGGGCCTTTGTTGAGGGCGTTCTATCTTGGGGACGGAGGATGAATCTCGTACGAATAAATAGTAATACGTACTCTTCAAGTGCGTATAATAGTGAATATATGTATGTACACTGAAGCCAAGTCAGTAACACTGTGACTACCCACCATAACATCTGAAGTAAAAGAAACACCCGTCATAATGACCATTTTTATCGTCCGTGGATATCACCAACATGGCGAAAGACCATAAAACTCTATAGGAATGCCACCGTAGTGTTTGTTTGAAAGCTCCAAGGAGTCTTGAATAAACAGAACAAACCATCAACGTAAGTGAGACATGTTACGGGGAAACCAATGCAAGGTGCAATTGGCTCAGAACCCATGAGATGTAATCCTAGATGTTTGTTTTCCGTCGAACCACCACACAACAAATAAAGGGTTTTACCTCCATGATATTCAAGACCTTATCAGGTGTTACAATCTTCCAGTGATGGGAGATGATATTTTTAGTTAGAGATTTGGGATATCCAGTATTGTCCAACTAGCTAATTCCTGACACCAATCACCCTACGAAAGCGCAAAGCCCTTCCGCCAGGAAACTTGTGTTTTTTCAAAAGCGAACCTTGTACAACAATGTAATGAATGTTAAAGTGGAGGAAATGTGACACTGTGTAGGAAAAACAGCAGCTTTTAAGCGCTACAAATTCGCAAACGCTGGCAGAAATTGTACCGATGGCTCTCGTTTGAGTTCACACTCTTGTGCAAGCCGATTGCGAATGTTTGTAATTTGCTGCAAGCATTGTGTCCAGTGAGTGGCAAATCTAGTGTCAAGACCTCCAAAGTCTCGCCACCCGTGCGCATGGTGCATCATCATCAAAAGATATTTTAGCTCACGAATGCGTTCCGGCGGCAAAACTCAAGGCCTTAAATCTTGTCTGTCCACATCCGGAAAAGCCACTACTCATAGGAGACTTTCGGTCAAATTAACGGTCCTCTGAGCTCATTAAACATATTCGAGTTATAAACCTCCTCCCAGGAAAGACCAGTCTGAAGAAGTGACCGGTTTTGGTCAATGATTTAAAGCTATTTCCTTCGAGGTGACAAGTGTGTGGGCATTTTTTCTCAAATGAGGTTGGACGTTGAAAGACATAATTTTTGGTTAATGTATCAAGTGGGCCTCGTGGAGCAAGGAAGCGTAATTGTTGTTTTAACTATAAACACCGTCTTTACGGGTTCACCTATGACAGTGTTCTTTAATACGCGGACTCCCAGAGGATCCAACCATTTAAAGAACCCACAAGAGACTCACTGTAAGTGATCCCATCGCAGGATGGATTTTAAAGAGAAGACAACTGTAATGCTTGTGTGACAAGTGAATGAAGTCCCGTTATTACCCTCCAGTCAAACAGAAAAAATTGTGCTACATTGACACTGCTGTTTGGGCGTTCAATTAGCGTAGAAACCCGGAAATTTTGCACTGGCTTTTTGGTTTGACGTTTTATGTAATGGAGCCGATGAGTGACACTTTGGTAATGTATAGTTGCGATTTGCCGTATGCGCCTGTGCTTTTCGAGACGATTTCCAAGTGGGTATATGCGGACCAGGCATGGTCGAACCCATTCGGCAGCACGGTTCTGAATTAGTTTGAAAACCATTCGGTAGCCTCCGACTCACTCTGACTAATTATTATCAATGTATACGTGACTCTTCTGGAACAGCCTTAAATCATTCCAAGCACCCCGAGCGGTGCGCAGTCAGTCCCTAACTCTACGGGGTGCTGCACCATTTTAAACAAATGTCCATATATTTCATTGGGAA